CATTTGATATACTGCAGCTAGCTTTTAATTTTAAGCATCATTGGTATTTTACATTACTTCGGAAACCTTTGGTTTAATAAGCAGATATGTGCTTTGATCTGAATGAATTAAACCAGCAACCAAGCGTAGTGCCCCAAGTCATCTTCATGATTTGGTCCTGCTGACTTTCATTAAGGCTCTGTGTTCTGTCAGTTGTCTTGGTGTCTAAACTTATTGTAAAACATGATTTGGGTGACATTTATGTATGTTGGACAGTTGGCCTTACTATTTTTATATTAAAAAAGAATTATGCCATTTCAAATGACTAGTGACAAAATTGTAAGTCATTTAACAGAACAGCTTAAACTTTAGAAGTCTTTTTTTCTATTTTCCTACATTGAGAAATGAATTTGTCCCATTTTGAAATATTAATTTGCTTCATTTTTCTCTTTTCTTCTGAGTAAAAATGGAGATAGGGGCTAGCGAGATAGCTCAGTGGTCCAAAGCACCTGCTTAGCCAAGCTTAGGCAGGTGCAGGGGACAGACATTGAATCCCAGGCACCACATGCTGCACCAGCTGTGCCCTCAGGGTGGGCTGAGCTGGCCAAAAAAAGAAAAAGAAAAAGAAAAATGGAAATAGTGCAAAAGAAAAATGAAAATGGAGCTAGCGCTTGTTGGATAGTAAGTGACTTTTTAATGGGAAGATGATACTGATATGAATGCCTTTATTATTCATTTCAATGATGTTTCTTATATTTTGAACTGGGACTATTGTGGGGCTGGCAAGATAGCTCAGCAGTCTAAAGTGCCTGCTTAGGCAAGCTTAGGCAACTGCAGGGACAGCATTTCGATCCCAGGCACCATATGCTACACCAACCCCTTTTCCAGGGCAGGCTGAGCTGTTCCCCCCCCAAAAAAAAGAGGGACTATTGTGGTGGAGAACAATAATGTGACCCTTTGGCTTACCACAAGTTCTATCAAGCGTTCAGACTAATAACCTTATATTAATTCAGTAAGACTTCATTATGTAACATAGAACAATCTGTTGCTTGTTCAATATTTAAAAAGATATGCTACAAAAATAGAAATAAAAAGCATATCTGTATCACATTAAGTGAAATGAAATATAAAATCTCTAGTATAGGACATGTACTCCTATAAATTTTAGAATATTCTTGGTATGGAAGGTATTTCAGAGTTCAACTAGAGATTTAGTATGATCAACAAACACTTGCCTTTCAACTTTGGGTTAGTTGTATTTGTTTTAGTACCTCCATAAAGATATGAGGGCGAGGGATATAGCGCAGTAGAATAAGTGCCTGCCTGGCAACCGCAGGTCTTAAGTTCAGTTCTTGGTACTGAAAAAAAAAAAAAAAAAGATAAGGTATAATTATATACATTATGATTTAATTTGATTTTTTAAAAAATAAGCATATAAAATGTAAAAGTTTAAAGTAAGAGTAAATTTAAACAAGAGTGTATATGAAAATTCCTAGTTACCCAAGTTAAAATTGCTTGATGGAGTCAATTTTATGATAAACAGTATTCTTCAATAGCAAGCTGGGTTGGCCAGTTGCAAAGCAAACATTATTTTTAGTGTGATAAAATTTTCCCTCCAGCATTTGTTTGTTGATCTGAACCTATCTCCTCTGAACCAGTGGTTTTGGATTGTATTCAAAAGATTCAGAGTCATCATATTTCTAGAATATGGTGGGGTGGGCATACACAGGAACCCCAGGTTGCATCTTCTTCATGCTAAAGCCAAGGGGAATCATTTCAGCATTGGCGCAATGAACTGGGATCGGAGTCATATGAATTTTTAAGATAGGTAATGGGAAGGAGATGAAATATGGGACAACTTTGAGAAAGCCAGCATGCAGCCAAAAGCAACAGCAGGTGGGGCCATATGGCAATCAAATTAGAAGCCACATGCCTGCCACAGAGCCCTCCAGGAGAGGGCGGCACCTGGACAGTGCTTGTGGAGAGAGGGTTTCCTCAGCACACTCGTGTTTCCTATCGCCTCTTCCACTGCTTGTTTCTGAAAGGAATTTAAATCTATCCCACCAAATACATACTTAAAATTTCCTTGAAGTATAAAAATAATTCTACTTTCATGTTTAGATAGAATTATACCAAAAATGTTTCCAAATAAAGCATTTGCCAAGAAATAAAACTTTGCAAGGCTAAAATTTTTTAATTAATTTTCTTGAGAAAGAAATAGCAATGAGAGAGTTTCAAAACAGATTAGTAGGACAGTTGCAATAATTAATACATTTCATATTGTTGTCTTCATAGTAGTTATTCACATTATAAGACGCAGACATGATATCTTGTCTAGACACTATTAGTACAAAAATTCATGCAGCTGCAGGACAAAATTTAATAACATTATTTTATTTAAGCTTTGCATTCGTTGACGTGAAAATTTTGTAATTCCGTTAGTCAGAGACACTCACTAGTAAAGTAATTAATGTTATCTGTATAAGATCTCAGTCTGGAAAATAACACTTTTCAGAAGATCTGGAAGCAAGCCTTCCTACAAAAGGAACTTGCTGAAAAAATGCGATAGTTCTCAGGTTGACTTCCACAACCTGTTTGACTAACAAATAAAAGTTACACTATTAAAAAATCATTCTGAAATGCATAATTAGTATAGTGATTTCTTTTTTTTTGGGGGGGGGAAGGGTCTACAGGGTGTTCAGCATCTCACTACTAGATCAGACTCGTAGTGATCCACCTGTTTACAGTCTCCCAAGAGCTGGGATTACAGGCACGCGCCACCATGCCCAGTCTCAATTGCCTTCTCAGCGCACCCCAGGAGTAGGACCAGCATGGGATCGAGTCCCTGGCTCCTGCGCCTGCTTGTAGGCACTTCAATCTGCTGAGCTATTTGGCTGGCATTAGTATAGTATTATGTTAGTGTAGTTTCATCAATATCCTAGTGCTGTGTGTGTGTGTGTGTGTGTTTGTGTTTGGGGGATGTCTAATCTGAAAAACAGTCCCTGTTCTGTCCTTCATTGTTTTTACCTTCAGGGAAAATGCAGTGCTTGTTGAAAATCCTGAACCCATGAAAATTTCCCCTGCTCAGTACAGTACCTTACTTATGTACACAAATCATTTATTAAGATGGTGACAAACTAGATGGTGGGAAGAATGAGACAATTTTAATATTTAATATTGCATTTCCTGGTTTGTTTCTACTTTGGTTAATACCACACTTTTAGCTGCTCTGAATGACACAGCAAGAATACACTTCCTTATTCAAACAAATAATTAGCTAATAACTTAAATAGTGATTACTTCACTAATAGCACTTCCTTACACAGGATTATTATGTTTGTTTTGAATAAAAGGAAATGATTTTATTGTATAAATATACACTGGTAGCCGATCTTTTACTGCAGTACCTACTGAAATTAGCTGATTTGCATTTAACATAAGTGAAAGACAAGATGTTTTTGTTGGAAAATTTGAAAGTTATAGGAAATGGGAACAACATAGTAACAAGGCACTGCCCTGTTACTTGAATGCTGCTGTATTTTCTTCCAGTAATTGTTAAGACAAATGTATCAGTAAGATCTCTGTGGTTAAATTCTAGTCCTTTGCACTCTCACATCAGGGGTAACTGCTCACATGAGTTCATTTTATTTCTTTTTCATTAGAAAACTACATATACATTCATCTATCAAAATATACAGGGGCTGGGGAGATGGCTCAGAGGAATAAGTGCTTCCCTGGCAAGCACAAGGACCTGAATTCAATCCCTGGTTCCGCCAAAAAAAAAAAAAAAAAAGAAAGAAAGAAAGAAAAAGAAAATATACAGCTTTAGGTGTGTAGAGTTGGTTTGTGTTTACACATGTAATATAGTGTACATCACATATTATAGGTGTATATTTAATATAGAGGTGGTTAGATGCTTCATCTGATTTTCATTCAACTTTTATTTAACTTATTGATGTATGTCAATTTATTGTTTTTAACTGTTTTACATTTTATCAAAGGAATAGAAAATATATGTGTAATAAATTTCTTTATTAATATGCATTTCTAGAACTTTTTCTTAATAAATTTGCCTGTATTTAATTATTTCTTAGGTTTAAATAGCATTTATATAATCACTGGAATACTTAAATCCTTACTAAGATTTGCAAGTTTAGAACACACAGTGAAATACTCTTCAATATTTACTACTAGAGATCTTCTCTGTTTAATTATGCCTCATATAGAGCAAAATGACAAATAATTCAAGATATTATTTTTAACATCAAATGTAATTTGTTCAGAATTTACATTAATCTCTCTCATAACTAATCATTTCCATTTTGTCTTCCTGTCATCCTGAAGACTGAAAATGTAATTTCCCAGAGGCTTTAAGAATTGGGGAAGTATTAAATGTGGTTGGAATTAAGTGATTAATAATTTACTTTTAGGTCATGAATCAACTTCACGGGATGCTAAGGACCATTTGGAACCCCAGAAGTATGAAAAGTAACAATGCACTTTTTAAGATTTGAGAACTCTCAAAGGTTGGCTGCCCAACCTAATTAAACTTCAATCTCCTGATACCAAATTTATTTCTTCTTTGTACTGAATTTCCTCAGATCTTGATAGGAAAATGTCACTCTGCCGAACAGCTGATAGACAGGTTGTATAGCATCGTAATTGGGGAGAAAAGGATAGCTTAAAACTCCTCAATTTAATGGCTCTGTGTATGGGTTTTTCTTTCCTTTTTTTTCTTTCTTTTTTTATGAGGTTTCTAATGACATACACAAAGGGCCTCAGCAAATAGGCCCAGTGCCACTCTCTCCCTGCTTCCTCCAGGGGTAATTATCTTGCTCCATCAATAGTGCTGTCAGAAATCGGGCACATAATTCAGCATTTAAATGAACAAGCAATGTAATATTTCCTGCCTCCCAGTGGAATGTTTCGCAGCTCACATTCTTCTCTGTCACTCGCTCACTCTTGATGTATGTCCCATGCCTGGTCCTTGAGTGCTTTCTCTCCTTTGTGTTTCATTGCAGATGTTGGCTCCGACTTGACACCTACTTCATTTGGAGTTTTATAGGACCAGCGACCTTGATAATTATGGTGAGAACTCCTAATTAACTCTGTGTTTCCCAGGTCAACAAATAAAATTTTTTTGCTACCCCAGCACTAAATTTCTTTAATTTACATAGGTTAATTTGGGGAAAGCATGTACTTACTTGACCCTATGTTACTCAAGCAATTAGACACTCATTATAGTCTACTTTTATAAAGTGAAATATTTCATCAAAACCAGTGGGAATAGAAAAGAGGCATTTGGAAGAGGGTTTGTGTGGGGACTCAGGAGTTCAGTGTAACATAATCCATTTGGCTATGTACATATTTGACCAGTGATGACACTAACTTTGACAAGCAGTGCATTATATTCTTTTTCTTTGGGATTATTTCAATGGAGAATGGACAAGTGAGAAAATACCTGAGCAGTCCTTCAACTTTTGTTCCTCATGTGAATGCTTAAGACAGAAAATTTGAGCCAGCCAAATAGCTCAGTGGATTAAAGCACCTGCAAGTGGGTGCAGAGGCCAAGGGTTCAATCCCCGGGTCTGCCATGCCGGTCCACCCCCCAGGGCACGCTGAGAAGGTCATTGAGACGGGGCATGGTAGTGTGTGCCTGTAATCCCAGCACTTGAGAGGTTGAAAACAGGAGGATCACTATGAGTCAGATCTAATAGTGAGATCCTGAACACCTTGTCGACCCTTTCCTAAAATACAAAAATAAATAAATAAAAAATAAAACAAAATTTTATTTGAGATTGTGCAACTAAATTAGACATGGTTGACAATCATGCTTTCTTTTTCTTTTTGAAATGCATAATATCTTGATTTTCTATATTATATTAATTAAGACAAAATTGCTAGTATCACTGTTTACAGAAATACAAAGTCACTATTCATTGGACTAAAATGCGATTTGGAATAAAATGTGACTCTTAATAAAATACAGATCTATGACTTCTTACCTGAAACATATGAGAGCATTTAGACACAGATTTCTCATATTAGATAGGTCCAAATATACTTTGAAGTATAACTATATGGCTCTATGTTTTACCCCACTTTGAAATATTAACACAAACTACTATAAGTAATTCTCTCCACAAGTCTCATTCTCTTTAGTTATCTTTTTGTTATTTTCAAACTTTATCCTTAAACCCAAATTCCACATTTAGATATTCACAAAACACAAGTCATGCAGAGACATGAAAACCTTCACATTACTTTTTAACACTAACAGTACTTTATATATACAAAAAGTAGCTAATTTACATTCTGTCAAAAGAAAAATTTGAATTCCCTTGTATATGTCTTAAATTTAACTTAATTCCTTGGTGTTAAGGAATGATAGTAATGTAGGATACACATCAGTCATTTATGTATGTTAAGTTGCATTTTGTGTAATCTGCCTGGTCTGTGCTAGTTTGGATGAATAATTGTGTTTAAATGAATGTACTTTGAGAAGTTCCAGAAGGTCACTTGTTATACATTTTGGAATTCACTGTTGTTTCAGACTTTGGCATCGTAATATGGTATGTGTACACAGATAATACATGTGCAGTGGGTCAGGAATAGGCAGCTATCCTGAATGAAATACATGAACTTATACTTACACTAAGCACCGAGCAGTCCTCTGAAACCAAATATAAATATTCCTATAGAAAAAAGTAAGAAAGGCACAAGCAAGGGCAGTGATGACCGTGGGTAGCCTCATGGCCATGGTAAGCAGGCCTTCCCACCAAATGGAAGATGGATTCCATTCAGGCTAGGTGTTTTATCCACCTAATCAACTTAAAATTTTTTACTTTTTGTTGTTCTAGTTTTCAAGATGATTCATAAAAAAATTATGAAGCTGTATTACAGGGAGAATTTCAGTGGGACTTTTAATTGGATTTTTCTAGCCTCTACTTATGTCAAGTTATGAAATATATAAGCCAGTCAAGAGGAAAAAGACAATTCAATGTGTACTTGTCTGAACTGTTTAGGTTTAAGTGTCAAAGGTAATTCATCCTGAAGTGTTTTGCTTTAATGCTTTTTCTTATTTCAGTGATACAATGGCATTACAAGGGTTTTTCCGCTTTTATCTTAGTTTGCTGCTGCATCAGAACTTCACCAGCAATCCCTAATTCCTTTGAGTTAGCTCTGCCCAAATACATTGATTTTAGTTATTGTATCTTCATAATGTAAAATTTGAATATATGTCCCTGAATAATAAATTTGAAGAAACATTCAGTGTCCAGAAATAGCACACCGAGAATAATTATTGTGTCCCTTTAGTTGTTTTTAAAAACTGGCATTGGGCTCCGAATTCTTTCAAAACTTCCACAACGTCATTCCACTTGCTGCTAAGTCTGTATTTGTGTTTATTTGGCATAGCAGTGCTTTGTAGCCCAGTGGAATTCAAATTCCCCAGGTAGGCTTCTTACCTTGACTAAAATACCAGGCAGTTATCTATGATCCAGTTCCTTTAAAGGTGTTCTAAAAGTTAATTTCCCAGAACAACTCATTTGTTACACAGCATAGACTTGGTTTTACTTTTATCTTCTCTGGTTTTCCTACTCTGATAATTCATAACATACATTTTGCATTCCAGCTTAATGTAATCTTCCTGGGAATTGCTTTGTATAAAATGTTTCATCACACGGCCATACTGAAACCTGAATCAGGCTGTCTTGATAATATCAAGTAAGTGATTTTTATTTTTAGTTTCTATAGGTTTCCTTTCAATCATATTCTTAATACGTATCTATTGTTCTGCTATCAAAATACTATGATGAAATATTAGTAATCATTATACTGTGTTTGCTTTAAGAGGTTATTTATTATTTAGGTCACCTGAGCTGGCTGAAAATAAGTATAATTAAGTTCTCCAAATATTTTTTCCCTTGAAACCCTAATTTAAAATATAGGAAGTCCTTAATGTCAGTATTCACTTTGCTCTGAAAGCACATACGCATTCTCTGGAGTAGGACAAGCCTTCCCCTTCAGTAGCTGCAGTTAGGGCCCTTCGGGACGGACAGTGTAGTGGGAGCCAGATGGTGATGCTGCAGGTACCCAGAGCAGGAATTCGTTACCATGAGGAAAAAATCCTGGAAGTGTGAGCCTGGGGGTTCGTATAGGAGCTCGTGTTTATCTGACCTCTTCTCTTTCTGAGAAAAGGGAGAGAAACCTCCTGAGTGTAGGTAAAGGTTGAGTGTCCATTTTCCAAAATACAGAACTTTGGACTAGAAGGGTTTTAAAGTTTGGCAAATTTTCAGCTTTGGACTATTAGCATAACCATTATAATTTAAAATCCTTAAACTGAGAGTATAAAATACATAGTGGCACCAAATGTGAAACATTTGGAGCATCATGTTCGGATTTTAGAGCATTTTAGATTTCAGATTTTCAGCTTAGGGATGTCTAAACTATACTTTGAAATATAGTTTTACCCAACTTTGAAATATTGATACAAACTCCTACAAGTAAATTTCGCAGAAATCTCATTTTATTTAGTTATCTTTTTCATTTTGAAACTTTATCCTTAAACCCAGATTCCACTTTTCTATATTCATTAAGTGCTGGCCACACAACAACATGAAATCATCCACATTGCCTTTTAACACTAGCAGTATTTGGTGTCAACAAAACGTAGCTAATTTTTGTTTTGTCAAAGGAAAAATTTGAATTCCTTTGTATGTTCCCTAATTTAACTTATTCAATTTCTTGGCATTAAGGAAAGACAGTAAAGTGGGATACACATTAGTCATTCATATATTATGTTGCATTTTAACATATAATGAAATTTGCCTGATCTGTGCTAGTTTGGATGAATAATTGTGTCCAAATGTATGTGCTTTGAGAAGCTTAGGAGGTCACTTGTCACTTGTTTATGGCGTCCCCCTGAGCTACTTCAAATACCAGCTCTGTATCTCGTCCTCTAGCCTTCTGCAGTCTGTTGCTGACCTCACGCCTCACCCCTTTTGGACCCCCCAAAAAAGGGGATGGAATCTCACAATACGCTAGAGATTTAAGTGGAAAGTGTTGTTGATGTTAGTCCTTAATTTTATTGAAGGACTCATTTGCCTAAGTTAATTGTGAAGGATATTCAAGGAATTAAGAAAATAAAAATATTTGGGGACATGCTAGATATTATCTAGCAGAAATAAAGTCTTTGTTATTTTAATCATACATTGAGGTGCTAATCATTACGTTATTGATTATGTACAATTAAACTGTCATTCTGAAAAAGTGTTAATTGCATACATTTAATAGATGAGACTAAATTTGAATAAGTTAAATGACCACATAAAAATCTTTTTTATCGTATCATTCTTTCCTCCAGTTAATAAATTATACTTTTGTTTATTATTTTATTTTATAAAGTAATCATTATTTGTATTATTTTTAAAACAGGATTTAGAAGAAATGAAAAATAAATTTTTAATTTTTGTGAAGAATATTCTACTTTATTAAAAATTAGGGAAAAAGGACAATTCCTCATCCCATTCCTATTGACTTTTAGCTTGAAAACATGTACCTAACATTGTCACATATTTTAACAGATCAACTTGCTCATTATTCATGTGTATTTCTTTGGTAATGTACACTGACATTATTGTTTAAAAAATAGCAAACCACCAACAACAATGACTACATTTAGTGACATTAACAACATCAAATCTTATATTATTCAGCAAAATAAGCTTTAAATGAGAATCTCTTGGACAGAAATATAGCTCCGCAGCACAAGTGCCTGTCTGGCCAGTGCGATGTCCTGGGTTTGATTCCTGGTACCAAAAAATTTAAAAGAAAATATCTTGATTTGAACTCTGCTTGCGGTGACTGCTAGGCTCTGGCCTTGGGAGGTGTTAGTCCTGCAGTCTTCCTTTCCTCTTCACAGTGAGATAGAAACAAGACACCCTGCTGCCAAATGAGCAGAGGAATGTAAACAGCTCTGGATAATACTTTTTAAAACTTTAGTAAGGGCAGAAGAGGAGGTGACTAGAGTATGAAGAGTCATTTATAGATAGAGGAAGCGTGACTGTGGACCCACTGACGGAGATGTACCCGTGAAAGTCTAAGAACATGAGGAAGGGTAGAAGGGACTTGCCCTCATCACTAGGGCCCAAGGCTGTGGGGGAACTCCCCGGGCACTGTCATAGGGCAGGTCTACCTGCCTAGACACCAGGAGAGACATGTGTCAACTAAGTTAAGTGGAGCTAAGAGGGAGAATCTTGTCCAACTGAATCTGGATGGAGTACATAACAATAGGCATGGTGCAAGTGTGGGCGGCACCAGTGTCTGGCAGTGTAGTGAGGATTCCAGTTACTCTCCTCCGTGAATTAGGCCTTCTGCTGAGTGAGGGAATGCTGATGGGACAAGAGAGATGTCAAGAAAGTACTGTTAGTACTTTCCAGAGTCTGAAGGGAAGTAAATTGTGTTTAAAAATGAACAAAAATTCAGTGATGCGTATCTGAGAAGGAAAGAGATTGAAGAACAAAAACACAAACTCTGGAATAGTTTTATGAAAACCAAAATGAGTGTGGTACCTGTATTCATTTCATTGATATGGTACGTAAGTTGTGGGGGGGGTTAACGATATAAGCGTCATTTATCTGTAGCTCTTAATGTATCTGGTAGGATGTGAATTTATGTTTCGTTCTTTCCATTTTTAGGTGTTTAAATGTATTTTAGTAAAGTGGTAAACAGGATGGGCTACCTCACTCATGTACTTAGGAAAAAACAACCATGTAGGGCCTTTCAGAAGCCTTTATAAAATAATTCATACGTCAAATATTTATGTCCTTTGTGATATTCTCTTTGTCTCTCTGTCTTTCTGTCTCTCTCTGTCTTCCTGTCTCTCTCTGTCTCTGTCTTTCTGTCTCTGTGTCTTTCTGTCTCTCTGTCCTTCTCTCTGCCTTTCTCTCTCTGACATTCTGTCTCTTTGTGTCTCTCTGTCTCTGTCTCTCTATCTTCTGTCTCTCTCTCCCTCTCTCTCTGTCCCTCTCTTCCCTTTCTCTCTCTCATATACACACCTTAAAACATGTTCACTTTATCCAAAATATGCCTGCTTCTTCCCACTTCATTCCTGTCATTTCCTTTGAGCCTCACATATCTTCTGCAGAATAATGCCAGTGGTCTCCTAGTCTTTCTACTGCCATTCTGCTATCACCAACTATAGATAACTCTTAGGAATGTGTGGGCCATGCTACTCTTTTTTGGGTAAAATTCTTCAAAGCCTCTCATTATTCTTAAGCTGAAGTCCAGAGTCCCAGCACGGGGCCACAAGGCTTCCTAACCCAGGTGCCCTTCCTTCGGCTACTCTGGATGCCACGAGAGCCTCTGGCCTCCGCAGTGTGTTTTTGCTTAGGTCTCATCTCCCATTTTTTCCAACTTTTACTACCCTAACACTAACTTGCTTAACTCTTATATAATTAATTTAAAAATAATATAGCTACTTTTAAATTACAAATTCTGGGGTCAGAATAATGAACCTCCACAGTGTTGAAGAACATTTTTGGTTGATTTGTTATTATGTTTAGTAATATACTTTTGGATAAAAAAATACTGTTGGGCTGCAGAGATAGCTCAGCAGTCTAAGTGCCTACCAAGGCAAGCACAAAGACCCAGGTTCAATCCCGGGCATGCCAAGCCAGCCACCAAGACTGGGCATGTTGGTCCATGCCTGTAATCCCAGAGCTGGGGAGGCTGAAACAGGAGGATCACTGAATCTGAGCTGCATAGTGAGACCCTGTACCAAATACATAAATTTAAAAATAAATAGTGTAAAATATAATACTACAGATAAGATTATGGAAGAAACAAGGTATACTAATCTGAGGTCTAACTGAGAAAAGGTCATTAAAGTTTGACAATACCTATTTATTTGCTGAATGCCTACTTGCTATTTGTCTCTTCATCAAATAGGTAATTGCACCTAGAGGGAAGGAGTAATCCCAATCATTTGAATTTTTGTTTGAGTTTTTCGCAGATTGGAATTGGATCTTACAATAATTGTTGCAAAGATCTAACCTAATTAAAACTAATACATACATATGAATAAAACCATTACTGAATTGTTACCCCTTAACTTGTTAAAGTATTTCTACTTGAAGACCCTTAAATTACAAGAAACCCGGGAGTGCTTGATGTTTACCTCTGAAGTAAAATTTAGCAGACTCTGTCACTGACTTCTATTGTTTAATAATATTTTAAATTCTCAAAATTGTTCATCACTAAATAACATCACAGTTTATTTTGGAGAGTGAGAAGAAACAATACAAGGTCAGGATCATAGGAGAGAAAATTGGTACCTATATATATATCTATATGTAGGGGCCAGATCCACCAGGCTTCCTTTCCTGGATCTGTCCTCTGCTCTTCTGCATCAGAATTTGCCTAGTCATAGTTTCTTTTTATTTTTTAAGTGTTAACTTTTATTAAAACAAAGTTTAATCATCACAAGAATTAAATGACTCAGCTCTGAATAATGAGGTTAACAGTGAGTAATGGTTTAATCAAATGGTGATTGGTATAATAATATATAATGAACATATATATGGTGGGAGGTAGAGAGTAAGACAGCAAGTATTTCCTTAGTAATTTTTTGATAAATATGGTAAGTAGGAACAGTAGTTTTTCAATAAATGCAATAGTCACAGTTTCTGATTTCTGGTCTGTTCCATTAAGTTTTAGATGGGTGA